AAGATTCTTTCCTCCTGGCAGGCGTTTCACCGAGATCATCTTCGGCGATTCGCTGCAGTCGAACGGGAAGCGCTCCTTCGGTCGTGTCGTAAACATCTTCAGTCGACTTTTCGTGTACGTGCCCAGCATAGCGGCTCTAAAGCAGACCTTTCCCGACATCTTAAATGTACGTCATTTGGAAACAACCACTCCAGCACAGGTTCACAAGTGAATTTCACTTTTCTCAGTGCAAACCTTTCGGACTGTAGCAGCTGCTGCTCGATTGCTAAAGTGAAATTGAGAAAATTATTCACTGATGCGGCCAGAATGCACCGAACAAAAATCTAATGAACCATCGCCCTTCTTTTGACGTTACATATTCAATTACAAATAAAAAACAGATAAAAAACGTAGTGACTAAGGACTTATTCATCCGCAGAATGAGGGCACATCTGGATTAAACCTGAATGGGTCGCATGTGCCGAACAAAATACCGAAATACGTACTACGCGCGTCACTAATTTTACTTTGGAAACTCAGTCATGTGAACACGCTAGGACGTAGTTAGATATTTGTTTTCTTTATAGGCAGTTTTTTAGTTGCTACAGTGTCTAATGTGCTTCTATTGCACAAGTTCTGCGCAATAAACCATGGAAAGCAATGACACATCGACTGTGATGGGCAGATAATTTTGCTTGGTCTCAATTTTCGGCGATTGCAATTCGTTGTCTGTCTTGATTAACTGTCACCTCACTGAAACAGCTCATCGTGGGCTCAGGACGACAGTGGAGTAATATCACAAGGTGAATCTTATAGATGTCTATCGTGCGAGTGCCATCGATAATTAAAGCAGGAATTGTTTTTTAGAAGTTGTGCACCACGTTGGTAAACATTCGCTTTATTTCTTTTAAGAATATAATATTTAACGCAATGTTTTGTTAAAGATTGAATTACCTCGCACGAAATATGACTCTAGTTCACACAAAGGCCCCAAGAAATAATCATGGAATCCACGGAGCAGATTTACGCATGCTTTTCTGTTCGTTTATTTATTTATTTATTTATTTATTTATTTATTTATTTATTTATTTATTTATTTATTTTTACACTGGCACTGTTTAGGCATCGGGTTCGTCTGGAGCTGGATTGTGCTGGTGTATGCCACAGAGTGCGGTTATATTCCAAGCAGTTCCTAGCATAGCGTAGCTACGCAGGTATGACAAGTCAAGTCAATTCATGTTTATTACATATTCACATTCGGTGACATGATTGAAATAGTACCGGAGGATGTTCCAAAGTTTCAGAAAAACTGACTGGGGGACCTCCTATGGCAACATGAATGGGGTAATTAGAAAAGAAAGTACAGCCAAAGGTGCAAATTTGTTAGCAATGACTAATTTCTGTTAGTTAAATGATGATGATCAATGCGTGCAATGACAATATCATGCGTGATGAACCTATAGGCTACTATGGACAATCTGTAACGTAGCAAAAGACTGGGAAATAAAATGTGGTGAGGAGGGAAGAGTATATGGAGAGGTTGAAGCATGACGTAGCCTTGTATTGTTTAGCAAGGGCATGAGTAATTGAACAGGGGGTGACAAGAAGTGATGCGAGTGTTAGAGAAGGGAATATAGGAGAGAGGGTAACATAGAAAGGGATACAGGAATAAAAAAGATGAAAGAAACGAAAGAAAGAAGATCAATAAATTTAAAGAAATAACTCAATCTGCACTAGCCACGCGGAAGCGCTTGCTTTCCAACTCAGTCGTTTGCCCAGGTTTCACACGCGGGGAACCATTTAAATTATTCATTCGTGAATTCACTTGGTGCCATTACGATGTATGCCAAACGTATTCACATTGGAATACCAAAAAGCTCGTTGTCGTGAAGAAAAATTTGCGTTCTTTTAGTTAGACTTCTCCTACCATTACTTATGCATACAGTGGACTAGCTTTAACAGCGTTTAAGATCATTGCTTCCATGAGTGCATCATTTATATACCACTGCGGCTGACTGTACTCATACCAATAATGCAGCAAAGGGAAATTGACAGCCATTCGCGTGATTTTCAGTACGAAGCCACAAAGAATCTTTTTTTCTCAGTAATCCGTGTGGATTTCCTACTGGCGTCGGCCGGCTGCAGTCGGATGTTGTCAATATCTCTTTCCTATTACCATACTGTCACCTTACGGGATTCCGCAGAATTCATTTGCATCTTTGGTGCTTATTCCACGAAATAATGTGCTGAAAATATCAAGACAGGGATGTAAGAATTATTACCAGGATCATTGTATTCTTTCGCTTTTTTTCTTATAGGAGGTGGGGGAGGGGTGTATGTAAAGAAGAGCCCAGTGTACCACAAATAAGCTGCATCAGAATAAAATGTTGGAGAGCTAATGGTAATGGATGTTTGAAAAGCTACGACACTATTGGCTGCGTTCGTGTGACAAGCTCCAGCGCATCTCTGATGCGCCTGAGCTTGTCAAACAGGTACTACCACTAACTCACCTAAGTTTTTTTTTTTTTTGGTCTCTTGCGTTGTTTGAGAGCGTCAGCAATCCCAAGTCTAATGTTTCACTTGTTCAACTTCAAGGGTTACCCGTTACCAAGATTGCAATTTTGTCAGGGAATAACCCCAATGTCTACGAATGAAAAGAGAGATAACTATCAGAGGCTCTTCACTAATACTGGGAAAGCTGGCCTGGCGATCCACCTAGCCTAGTTACATAGAATTATCTCATTCGTAAGTAGCTACATGTCTTGTATGCGATCTGTGTACCATCGCGCATTGTGTATACCACTCCATTTCCCCCATGCCCTTCGATACTGGGCGCTCCTGCAGTGAACTTCCTACTGTACACAATTGTTTAAGAATGAAGCGGGTGACAATGCCACTTCGGTTTTTGTTTACGCGTATTATTTTGGAGTAATGACCGTGCGAATGAGTCCAATTTGTGAAAAAGCAATGAATTGAGGACGCTACTTTTTTTAACTTTTTGCAACTGCAGTATTCATTCTGTGTGACTGTCTCAAAGAGTGAATTTTAAACGTCTTTAGACATTACTGCATTCCTTGGAGAGATGGTGTTCTTAATAGCATCACCAGTTGGTAGGTAGCCTCAGTAATGTACCTGTATAGCACGCCTATCAAAAGCATGCAGACTGGCCCAACTATGCAGCACGTGCATTTCAAACTGTGTGAGCCCACCACAAACTATCTTTATTAGTTTCACAGCTAATTACGCACACGTAAAATTTTTCAGTGTGGAACTTATCAACATATATCTCACCACAGCTTCGCTACCGTGTATCAGCCGGCTTTGCCAGTGAGTGCCCCCATCCTCCGTTTTGGCCAATCATACAATATACACGATATATGTCAAAACATGTATAGCCCGATTGATATTTTTTTTATCTTTGGTTGTTGTGTGATGTTAGTGCACGTTAAAGAACAGCAGATGATCAGAGTTTGCGGAGCCCCCATTGCGGCGTCTCTAATAATGATATGGTGGTTTTGGGACATAAAACCACAAATATATTTTTTATCTATGGGCAGCATATTTCTTCCGTCGCAAGTTACAACATTTTGTGCAGCACAGAAGAGCGCGAAGATTGAACTCAAAGTAACGAAAATACATCAGGAAAGTCAAGAAGTACCCCGGCATAAAAACCTTTCGTGTAAATAAAGAGACACACCCGCCAAGGCGGTCCAGTTGTCAAGGTGTTGGACTGCTGACTCGCATGGTCACGGGTTTGAATCCCGCCATGGCGGCCACAGTTTTCGATGGAGTCGAAAACGATTGAAGCCTGTGAAACGGAATCATACTTGTCTAGAGTGCCCAGCCGGCCACTTCAACTGCTGTTTTCTGCGTATGTATTCAATAATAGATGCCTTAGTGATACATAACCTTGTCATACTGCCTGCTATAGGTCACTGTGCTATATTTCTAGCATAAACGGAAGCTTCTATATCCAGCTTAGGGCAGTAGCTGGGGACAACAGCTTCCACAGCCACGCAATCCACCGCTCTAGACAATGTGATTCCGTCTGTACTTAGACTTGGGTGCACGCGATGAACACCGGGAGAGTGAAATTTTCGGGGACCTCAACTGCGGCGTCTCTCATATTCGCATGGTAGTTATGGGACGTTACACCCAAACAGTTATTGTTGAACAGACACAAAAGACAGATGGAAAAAAGGGTAGAGCAATAGCCATGTACAGCATAATAAGTGGTGGGAAAGGGAAAGTAAGGTGAGGAGAAAGAAAAAGAGGAGGTGAAAGAGTAAAGCATTTCATTGTCTTGTATAGCAAGGAGAGTGAAAGGGAAGTCAGAGTGGCGAGGATAAATAACTGGAGAACAATGCCCCTAGCTCCGCCGTTTCCTCGATCTTCGCAAAACTGGTGCAAAGCCGCCACAATTTCTTGTTGTTTGTTGTTTGTTTGTTTGTTTGTTTGTTTGTTTGTTTGTTTGTTTGTTTGTTTGTTTGTTTGTTTGTTATCTAGAAAACTCGAAAGTTTCCCAAGGTAAGAGGATCCACTAAAATGAAATAACCAAGATGAAGTTCAACTGTTGGTTGCGTCAAGTTTCACTACATTATCAAGGTTCACTCTTGGGTGGTCATCGGCATTTCGGCGTTGATCTTAGGAGTGGTTAACAAAGTGTACTCACATGGTCAAGCTGTGGCTGTCTTTTTTCATTGTTTTATTGTTATACTGATAGTATCACCTGAGCAACTAAGTGGCTGTATGCTACAACAAAATTTATAGCGCATTTTTTCTTACTCACTTTAATATAGGCTGAGCTGTTTGAATCATGCGAGATGTACAGCTAACATGGTTTAGGTCTAGTCGTGATATGTAATATTTTCGTTAAACCACGATGAAACTCTACGGTCTTGTAATCACTTGGTGAACACTGACTCGGCCTTTGTTCTTTTTATTCTTCGCATGTGCTGGCTGTGCCAAAGCTATCCCAGCAAGGTGCGATCATAATGCCGTGAGCCATAGAAAGATCTTGTCATCTTCGGGCACATCGGACCGGTTCCTGCACGTCGTAGCCGAAGTTGTTACCAGATGCGAATACCTCTTCCTGCGCGTCCACGTTCCTCCAGAAGGCGTCGAAATCAAACTGTGGTCCCTGACCACCATACTCTTTCGGTAAGATATTGGGTGGAATTTCTTCATGAAGCTTCTCGTAGTTTGCGCCGTGCATTTTCAACTTCAGAGTGTGACAGGTGGTTAAAAATAAAAAGAATATATTAGAACAGAAGATAACCAAATTATGAAAAATTACATATATCTTGTGATACCTTTGCATGCAGTCACCTGTATTCAGAGCTGGTGTTGTGTGTATCATTGTTTATTTGTATATTGTACATATTTCTAAAATGTTCGTGCAGATGTTCTCAAAATCATTTATAACCACCAATAGTCAGTATCACCTATGTTATCTTTCACATGAGCTTTATCTCACATGAGTTTTTTTACATGATATTTTATCTGCCGGAGAGCAGATAAAATATCACGTCGGAGTCTATATCACAGGTCAGCATACTTGTAATAACGTAATCAGAAAATGTACATATGCTCAAGATAATATTTAGTGTGGTTGCAACATAAAAAAGTCAGTTTCGTCTTAAGGTCGAAGTTTTAATAGTGATAGCAATGATATAAAATGTTATAGGATGTAAATCTAGTGTAGCTTACTGTATTAGGATATGACCGGACGTAAGCAGTTCTTCATGGGCTAGTAGGTTATGTTCCTCTCTATTTTACTAGCAATACTTGAACAGTCGATCCAAGAACTGCCGGAGCTTTGAAAGCATACGTTGAAAAATTCGTTGTTGTGCTTACTCTTTCAGCCATCTTCTGTTTGATGAAAGGTTTTGCCAGACTGAAGAGTACATCAAAAGCATACGGTTCGTTTAGGATGTGCACTGCTTTCAACCGAGCTGGCATGCAGTCCTGATAGCATAAAATAAAAGAGGTCACGGTTAATAGGCATACAACACATGGTCACACTCATTCGGATATTAAGGTCAGATTCATTAGGGTGTCATTTCACTATATCAGCAGGGCACTACTTGGCGAGCACCGCAATAATGCTCAAGTTTACCTGGAAGTAGTCTAGTAGCCTTTTTATGAGGCCGAGATTCATCGCCATGACTTTTTCGGTCGTGAGTCCCTCATAATCCACCATGATGACAATTCCAAGGGTCTGCGCCATCGGGTCAGATATCATATATTCCATACACACGATGAATGCCTGCTGCAGAGTGGCGTAACTGATCTCTTCGGGGTTCCAGTGTCCTGGGTTGTGTGTGGTCGTTTAATCAGGTTACCAATGCTGCCCACACAAAAGATCACTGCATACTTCGAAGGAAGCATTTATATTATCGTTACATTTTTGTGCAAATAGGCGGCATGTATTTCTAGAGATATAAATGCTAGAGGCCCGTGAGCATCTATTGAGGTGCACGTTAATGATCCTTTCGAAATGCAAATTTACGTAGTGATAAACGAGCTGCACAAATGCAATACGTGATTAGTTAAGTTGGCAAATATGTCACCGCATCTTAAGATAATTTCTGTTCGGCTAGTTGGCTTATAGTAATAAGCGGCCGAGCGCAAACCAGGTAAGGACGTAGATGATGAACGGTGACAAAGCTCAAGATGAAGCATGCCCTGGGCTATGTGTGATCGACATTGTCCAGTTCCTAAGCTGCGCTCTGCAGTTTAATATCAACACGTATTCAGATGAATTTCAAACAGCTTAATTGATATTGTAGGGACGATAACTTAAGTCATCTTCTGCATTACTAACGGCCTTATGTCCTCTGTCGTTTACACTCAAATCTATTCACCCGTACCTGAACGCCCTGCATTTATTGCCACCATAATACCTTAATATTTATTTACCAACGTGAATTAGGAAACAAAAATGGGTGGAGGGTGCCGTGAAATCTTTTGAGAAACTTTTTGCGGAAAGTTCTTGGTGAAAACGTTGTCTGAGTCACACATTTCCTTAAACTTTTCTGACAGCAAGACAACCACTGATATATCCTTTTCCGAAGTACGAAAAAGGAAAGTAGAGCTCGAATTACGTGAGATATCGGCATTAAAGAGCATTCAAACCACGACCGAAAATGCTAATTATGCGGGAACGCACTCTAGAGTCGACTACTCAGACTCAGATTGGGCCACGAGCATAAGTCTGGGGGAGCTCGGGTGAGCGATATATCAATAACTTAGATTCCAAGCGAGTCCGGTTTTCGAAAACTTCTATTGATACTGAGGCCGAACAAGTCCGGTTGAAAAACGTTTGACGAGGCTGAACATTATAGAAAACCCCTAACGTGAAATATCCTTCTTGAATGACTCTTTCTGAGCTCCATTTTTTTTTTGTCGACATATGGTTAATATACACCACGGAGCCTCCATAATTTATTGTGATTAGTTTCTTACATTATTGAAATTATAAGGAGTGCGTTGCGCCAGTGGCGACAACGTTCCTAATCAAATGACAAGGCTTCTTGCAGGCTTCGAAGGACCATTTATGGAAGCACGCAAAAAACAAGCACACACACGCACGCAGAAAGCAAAACAAGCACAAAAATATGAGAAACAGAGTAGTGTAAGCCTGGCGTCTTATAGAAAAGTCTTTCTAGACCAACACGGGCTTCGAACACATTAGGGGATGCGAGGAGACGTGATACAGGAGCAAGAGGAGCAAACTTGTTTGAATGGGCCATCATTGAGTTGCGGAGGTTGCCAAGATTGATTGATTGATTTGTGGGGTTTAACGTCCCAAAACCACCGTATGAATATGAGAGACGCCGCAGTGGAGGGCTCCGGAAATTTCGACCACCTGGGGTTGGAGGTTGCCAAGAGACCTGGAGTCTTGGTGAAGGGAGAGGGAGCGTAGGGAGGAGGAGGAGGACGTCAGCGGCTCGTTGAGCTCTTAGCTACAACTATAGTGGACGGCGACCCAGAGCTTCGCCACTCGGGCGTGGTAACCCTACGGTGTCGAACAGACAACACAATTTTTTGCACATGTTTAGAAATGATCACATCTTATCGCTCCTTTCCATCATCTTCTCCCGTGTACATGATCTCTATAATCAAGTCACATGCGTAAAGTAAGCTTACCCACGTGACAGAATACAACGGGGCGTCCATGAACGTCCCTATGCGGCAGGACAAGGCAGAGCCTCCGGGCCTCAACGGGCACCTTCGACGGAAGGAATTCACGGTACACGCAGTCCGACGCCGAGCGGTTCTTGTAGTAGTTCCTGATACTTTGTAGAGCCGCTTCCACATTGTACTTCCTCACACGCAGGAAACGCAGAAGGAAACTCGCGTCACTCCTGGAGTTCAGTTTTGGTTCCTCTGAAAACAGTGGATGTTCTCTTTTTTTTTCGCAATTACTAACAAAAGCTGGACCCGTAGTCTCCTCACCCTGAAGCTAAAACATTTCTGTGTTCGTACTGACGTGTTTAAATACAGTTTCTTCCGACGTACAATAGAGCTTGTGAATGAGATAGCCCACAGTAGTGGGCTATCGAGTGAGACATGGCATGGAATGGGTCGTACCGACCACTTGACTTAACATTGAAAAAAAAAAGTCTGCAATGTACTCTGCCGTCTCTTATAGCTACGCTCTTGGTGATTTCGATTTCGTCTGCTGTTCTCGCGAAGAACTTCGTACTAGGTATTTAAAGAACATGGCTTAGGTTTCCTTGTATCCAGGTATTGTTGAATCGTGTGCTCTATAGATTCTGAAGTAATTATGTGTACTCAATTGCGTAAGTTCAACTGCTGCATCTCTGCTAAATTATAAATATCTAGGCTAATGAATCTGCCTTTCAGCAGCTTTTGTTTACAACCTGTGCATCTGTGCTTCAGTAAGGAAATATATAATTAAATTAGTTTGAAGTGAATTTTCTTTCTCGTAGCGTTGGCTCCTTACCACAGAAAAATTTAATAGTTGCAACTGCAGAACATCTTACTAACATGTAAACAACTTCATTTTTATTATTGTTCTCTTGCGCGCATTTTTTTTACGTTTCAAATTAAGTTCCTTGCATTTTGTTGTATGTTTGTTGCGTAGAACTTTACGGCATTCCCATTCCAGCTATGGCCCTAAGTAAGGCTATAGTATATCCATATCTCAAAATGAATAAATGAATAAATGTACATAAGTTGAATCAGAAAGACGTGCTCATTCATTTCTACTCATTAGCCCAAATAAAACTGTCACTCAATCACTCAATCGGCTGTTCACTTGCGCTACGTGATGATACAGTTTCACTCAAGACAGAAGTTAATAGAAAAATGGAGGCTTGAAGGAATAGACGGTGATCAAACGCAAGACTTTACTGGAGCCAACATTTCGTCAAGGAAGCCTGCCGAAGAAATACTTGTGTTTAAACTGATCTTTGCACCACATAGGAAGTTTAAGCAGCTTGACAGCAAGATAAGTCACGAAAGATAGCCACTGCATACTACTGGCCCAGGAGATGTATAACAAGGCAGGCTGATCGTAACTGAAGTCGGTTTATTTAAACGTGGCAACTTACGTACAGAACTGGCAAAGTTTTAAAAAATTCATCAGCCAGGGTGTATATATGAAAGTTTCATGACACTGATAACAGTTTCGCATGCTTCTAAAGCAACTTGAACTTGAGACATTTTTCTGCAACCAAGGACGTTTGCCTCGAAGGCTCAGAAGGCAAAGAAGGCGAAGAAGCCAACAGTTGAAAGGTATAACGTAGCGTGTAGAAGTGATGGGCTCCTCCACGTGTGTGCGTGATTTCACAATCTCTCTATTAGTCTGTCTTTCTTTTCGTCTTTTTACCTCATGGGTACCTGAACCGGAAGGAACTCTGCTTATAACATCCATGGCTTCCCATGCTTCGCTCTCTCTATCTTTCTCAATCAATGAAGTGAACAAGAGTAAAACAATTTTATATGTTTATGAAAAAAAAGTACTTCTAAACAAGCCCGTCAATTAATAGGAACTGTGTCCTCGTCGTGTTTTCGTCATTGTTAGCACGTGACGAAGACTTTCGCAGCATATGGCAGCGCACACCAGGCTACACAAAGAACACGCACACAAAGGAACGACACGAGTGCCGTAGACTGTTCCTTTTCACAAAGAATTCGCTACGGTGACCTCCTTCTTCGAGTGTTTCAGTGTTTGCCTTATTACACTTTTCTCTCACTTTCATCGCCGTGCGATGAGAGTGCTTTAGATTTAACACCCGAATCGCTCGATTTCTCTTTTGATAGACGTTGCTGCTTTTAGTCTCACTCACTAATCAAGCTAACAATGCAGAATGAAAATAGCAACTTCACCTGATAAGAGCATTCTGAGTTTCTCCAGCGCTTCCTTTCTCTTTGAAGGCGTCTCGCCTAGTTCTTCGGAGGCAACGTGTTGCAGACTGAACGGAAGCGCATTCTCAGACGTATCAAACACATCATCTGCCGTTTTTGTCCTGTACACACCCAGCATACTGTACAGCGAAATTGCTCACTTGTATCGCTTATAGATGCGCAGTAGGCAGCAGTAAGTTTAACTTTAGCATGTAGGCCCTTTTCTGAAACTCCGCTGAAATGAGTCAGCCGTAAAGTTACCCTACGGGGTCAATAGACTGTCCATGCTAGCTGCTACCATTTACACTGGAATGTGACAGCTAACTGACAGCCACTTAAGTGCCGTGCAACTGGCATGTGTTGCATACTAACGCGTGCTACGCAATTTAAGCGTTATACAGTCTATTTATTGTTCTTTTTTCTTCACTGATCCACTACCTTCTGAAATAGGGAAAAAATTGTCGACTTTCTCAGTGTACCGGGTCTAACGAACTGAGAAATTCACTCACTACTTCAGCTGTGCTGGGACTAATGGATAAATAGTCTTTTGAGGTATAGTCTGCGGACACAGTGCTTCGAGGCTTCTTCACTAAAATGTCTTCGAAAAACCATTCCTTCGTTTCAGAGTATGTGCAACTTATAAAACGCGTTAATGTTTCTGAATTTCATGTAAAATGATTTAACCCTTCACGCATGTATTTCGTTTTTGTTTTCTTCCTTCTATCAGATCTTTCCAACAATATTTATTCATTCACACAAATACGTACGCGTGAAAGAACCCTTTGACCGTCGTCTAACTGCCATTCTATGTTCTCTCTCTTTTATTGCGATAGAAATCATATGGACACTCTCAGCTGAACTTCGCCGCTGGTGTCAGCGGGGACATAATTGTGGAATGTAATTGTTTTTGAGCTAACAGAGGGACGCTAATATGGTCGTCCGTGCGATGCATCTGCTTATGTTACATTTAGCGAGGTGAGTCTGATAAGCGTTGTTGTTTCCTGACAGCTTAGCGATACATGTCATGCTCGCAAGCTGTTTCCCTCACAGTTTGTCCAAGCGAATCTCAGTAAATGGCAGTGTTTTTTCTTTTTTTAGGTTTGCGTTACTCTTTCTGTAGTCAGTCCACTGATCCGTATATTGGTCAAAAAATTTTTCTCTTTCATCTTTCTTCACCACTGTTTTTTGCCTAGTTACTAGTTATCACAATAATGGGACGTTGCTTCGTGCAAGCTAATCGTGAAAACAAAGAATACGTTTAAAAAAAACATGGGATTCTTTAGTGATATGTCAATTGTGTATGTTTCGTTCTTTTGGGTTGTTTTCCTTCTTTCTTTGTTTCATTTACTACTTTTTGGTGAAAGCTCAACTCTTAGGCACCCATTCGGGCGTTATGTAGCGTCGACATGACCGAGCTCATGATTGACACAGGGCAAGATGAAAGAGAACGAACAGAGAGTGCTGCGGAGTATAAATGACAGCGATAGCGGAGAAAGTGAAAGGAGAAAAGGAGAAGGACGTATAGCGGTAGCACGAGGAGTAAAATGTAGGATGAAAGGGTGAGGAAGGAAACGCAGATCTGCGTAAGCGGAAGTCTGTCTGCAGGAGCAGAGAGGTGGCGTCAAAGTAACGCACCGTCATCCGATTACCTATCACTTTACCAATCCCGTGTGCGGTAAGCGCGTCCGCCGATATCAAAACTGTAAACAACGCACTGCACGTATTGAGGTTTTTCTGCGACGGCTGCTGCGAAGTTCGCCCATGCGTCATTTCTTTGTGCCACGCAACTCGCTATTCTCCGCGCCAGCCGCACCAGCCCCGGCGTTATCTGAATCGCGACGCGAAATATTTTCATCCAGTTCTTTCTAAACACTGAGCGACGCAGCTGGTGGAAGTGATTCATACACCGGTGCTGCTAAACTAGTTTCTCGAGCCGAAGGACGAGAGACGCTGACGTCGCAATGCAGGGGTTCGCGCCAACGAGAGTACTCTGCCGTTCCCGCTGCCATAGCAAGGTCATCGTCTCAGCCGGCACGTAGATTTGTTTCATGTTTGTTTGCGTAGAGTGCTATTAGTACAGCACAGTTTGAGTTCAACTATGCGTCAATTTTTGATGTGTCACATTACTCCACACTTAGTAGTTTTACTGTTTCTTGCTTGTTTAGTGAGTCTCTTGCTGTCTGAATGCGATACACATTCAGACCGCAGGATTACCATGCAGCTAACAGTACATTATATGAACACAATCTATTATGTCTGAATGTTATGTGCTTTCCAACAACATATAATCTGCTGATACAGTGCACACAGTAAAACGTACCATACATGCCCGTGCCCTAAGCCTACACTTCACCAGCGTCATGCAGCGCAGTTTCTATTACAGTAGTTTACAGGCGACTCCTCTACAGACGTAAGAAGCGCCCCTACACGATGCGCATCCCTGTAGCTATGTAACACCTGAAGTAGAAAGCCAGGTGACAAAACCAGGGTGATATCTCCGGGAATTTCACTAAAAATTATTATAAGCTCTCTCTCTCTCACTCACTCACTGTCTGCGACACCAAGATCTTCCATGTCGAGAGAAGTCTGCTTAGAAGGGAAGTCGCAAAGAATGATTTAAACTTGGTGTAAGGTATCACCTTCCTGACATCTAGACGGTGGTTTTCGTGGACTACCTCGGAACATAGTGCTTGCCCTTTCTTTTGTACTTTCTATATCTTTTAATTTTTTTCTCTGATATCTTCTTTTATGTATTCAGCGTGAAATAGGTACGTTTCATAGAGTCATTATTTGTGGTGCAGACAGCACTAAATGATGCCGTACTGGGGTTGTGCTTACACAGTGAAATACTGTCTGTGTTCGCCGCTTCTGTTTATGCGCCTTCTTTTTTATTTATACCCAGTTAATGAAATCAACCTTCGAATAAACCAAGCAAGATACATAGAAGTTATATTGTTTCTTGCTTCAAGAGGCAATATTTGTTATATCTCTAACTCTAGTATCATGATGTTGATCTAAATTAGGAGGAATTGAAGCAATTGAAAAATCTCCTTTTTAATCGGTGGTGTGTAAACCGACGAGCTGCGCATTCCACGTCCGAGGCTCTACCAAATGAGCTACAATAAAAGGCAACAAATGTGATGGAGAAACAACAAATCACTTTCCCTATACTTTCTTTGGTATAGTTCTCATTTAATTTCATAAGCTAGGCATAAAACAGAAGCGAGCCTTCTGACAATTTCCGTTCTTTCATACTTTACTTATTGATAACTTCCATGTCACTCTCTTTTTTTTAATTTTTGCTTAAGTTATGTATCTTGATATCAAGAAATTATATGTGTACCAAACTTTATGCGTGTGCTGCAGCACAATAAATTTTATTGGATCTTTCTTGGACTTGATTAGGATTTGTTTTATTGCGTTCCAACATTTACAGAAAAGTAAGCTCTTCTAGCATTTCTGTTTCTGTCTGGAATTCGTCTTCAGCCGTCGTCCAAGAATATCCATACTGATTGTTGGCAATGAATAGCTCGTCCTTGAGCTCCAGCTGCCTCCAAAATCTCTCGCAGTCGAGCGGCGGGACCGTACCACCGTATTTTTCGGGAAGGACGCTGGGAGGAATTTTCTCGTGCAGTTTCTCGTAGTTCTCACCATGTAACTTGAACTTTTCGCGAGACAAAAGAGAGGCAAGAAAAAGTAACGACGCGATTAGTGTGAGAACTCCTCCGGCGTATATTGTGCTCATCGGGTACTTCACTGGTCTCACTGAACTACACAAGTGCAAGGCCGCGTTGAAATACAACCCTACAAAATAAACGTTCGCGTAATCATGCACCTGTATGCCATATTATCAAAGAGGTAGAAAAAAGAGGTCCTTAGGGAAAGCTAGAAAGGTTTGTGTCATAGACATGTACCTTGAACGATACTCTGAATAGCTGCGCTTATAAGTGAATCAATACAGACAGAGTCATACCCACAGAAACACAATATGCAGAAAGCAAACCTCGAGACGCCTAAAAACAACATTATCAAAAGAAGTCTTATAGACCACCAGCTAAAGTAAAAAATCATATCTTCATCTCTCCATACACGCAGTTAGTGGAAATTCAGCGGCCAAGTACGTGCTGTAGCTAGGGCGTAATCTACTGCGACTGTTTCACTGTTTCAGTGCCCTACGGCACGTGGAAAGGATATTACTACTTTACGAATGTCATCGGCTATTGCTTGGGCTAACTATGTCGCCTTCTTAATTTTTAATGAACTGGTCGCGAGTACGGGGATTGGCCCATTGTAGTGCATGCCCTTTTTTTACAATGAACCGTGACTACATGACACAGCGTGAGGACAAGAGACGGTGACAAGCCTAGCCTCTGAGTTACTTCGCACGTAGAACTCTACTGAGGTTACCTTTCTCAGGTGTGATGGGTTGGAGAACAATGCGGCATTTAGTGCTTCTAGTGCTGATTCGTCATTACCACTCTCTTTTTTCTTCCTCCATGCTTTGAGGCACTCCGACCCCAAGGACGAATGTCCGACCCTGTGGCGTCACTCGTGATTTGATGGAGACGAAATGCTAGAAACCCATATGCTGTGACGTCCTAAGCACATGTTCTATAGTGTCACGAGCAAGCTATCGATTGAAATTGTGAAGCAGACGACGTGTCTACGGACGCGTCTTCAGCACCGCCAACGCTCGGACGAAGAATCTTCGATGTTCAGCGATCGTGTACATTTTATAACAATAATAACTGGGGTTTAAAGTCCCAAAAAACGATAACATGGTTATGAGCTATGCTTTAGCGGAGAGCTCCGAAAATTTCGACCAGCCGGTGTTCTTTACGTTCTGTGACAATGCGCAGTGCACGGGCCTCAACCATTTCACCTTCATTGAAATGCGACCGACACGGCCTGAATCGAACCCTCGACCTTATGGTCAGCCCCCCAACACCTTATGGCTACACGACCACGGTGGGCGTATGTACATTCTAGGCACACATTATGCTAAAGCTTAGGCAGGTAGGTGCTAAGCTTAATTGGGGTCTTCAATAAGTCAACCCCGCAATTTTATTGAGGAGTAAAATATTTAAATGAGAAAGCTTCGCTTACACTATCGACCTGCTTCTTTTAATTAACGGGCTTGACGATCATATAAAGAAAATCAAATGTATACGACTGGCTCAATATGTGGGCTGCCTTCAGCCGCATGGGTGCACTGTCCTGAAAATATGCAGTACAGCCATTACTATTTGACACTATATCAGCAAAGTAGAACCAGTCTGGAATGAAAGCAGCTCTAAATACATACACGCAGTTCTCTTCAACTCTTCAACTTG